TGACCCATGATGTATTTGCTTTCCACTGTTTCACTGTTATTTCTCTGTTTGCGAAAGAAAGCCACTAGATGGAGCTGCAAGACACCACACCTTCAGGTAGTGTGTCAGCTGGTTTGCAGCTGAAGAAGCTACAAGCTCATAAAGAAGTTCTGCTCACTCTGAAACATAATTGAATCAAACCATAATGCCTCTCTATATCAAACACAATATAAAAGGATTGCAAGACTTATGAAGGGGGATGACATGCAAGCTGCCAAACAAGGACAAAGTACAATCATTTCCTGTGTGTGTGCCTGAAACTAAGCCTCCTACAAGTGGGGACCCTTCAAAATCAAAGTCCAAATAATAAAACAATTGAGAGCTCAAAAGAGAGCCTAATGAGATAGGATGTGTAGAATTAAGATAATATAGACAATTAAACACACTGTTGACTATATTAAAAGAAAATACATAGGTAAATAATAGATTTAGTCAAGTTTCATGGACAAATAAATGGGTTAAATAATGCCAGCTAAGTGGATACTACCGCATGACACTTGGTGGAAAATGAAGATTAAGGGATAACTATTTAAATTGAATTATAAGTGGCTTTTTTCACATAACATAAAAGTGTTAGGACTGGAGCTGTAATGGTGATTGAGTCCCTTTTTTAATGAGTTTTTAAAGCTCTTTGCCGAGTTCACTTATGCAAGCCAATTATTTGACACAATCACACAGATTGAATCAGTTTGTTAAATGTTTAGAAGAATATCACCGCCGCTCAGCTCATGATTTTAAGTCACAACACTCACACTTATAGCTTTGTTAAGATTAAACTGAGTGTTCATGACTAAAGATAAGTGGATTTGTTTCTTGTTAGGTTGTTGGAGTTCTCTGAGCAACTTTGATTGCTGATGTGCGATATTTTAACCTCTTCACTTGCCACCAAACCACTAAGTGATGTGATCTGAAGGCACATTTACAGCAGCTCAGATCACAGGCACTGGCTTTAAACAAGAGCGTAACATTTGACTAAGCCTCTCACATGTAAGACTCTCCCTAACATGTGTAATATGAAGTCATATTAATGTGGAACAGCTTTTCCTTCATCTGGACTCGGAGGCCCCGTCTGGACCGCTGCCAAACCCCCCCATCCTCCTCCGTTCCCACATCAGACCACCTTACAAACTGGAGGTGGGGGGGAGGGGGGCGGTTGGAATGTATTTTGCCCTGTGTGATGTGATTGTTTGCAGAGAAATGGGTTGACCTTGCCCTCTAATGCCACACACACACGCACACACTTGCTCTGGCTGGAGGTGTGTGAGACAGACCCGCTGAGTGCAGGAGGTCTGGGACCCCGTCACCACTTCCTCCAGACAGAGAACAGAGGATCCAGTCAGCTGCAGCCAGGATGGGACAATAATGAGCCGTCCAACCAGCACCTCATTCCAGGTATTATTGAAACCTCCGCCTCTTACTTTACTTCTGCATAGACCAACCACTGCAAACCCAGATTTTCTAAATAATTAAAAAGATTTAGTCGTATAAACCTACATTTCCCAAAAAGTTCTACCTTCAATATTTGTAGTTTTTGAGTTAATTTAACAAATCTGTATTGATCTTGCCGGATAAGTCAGCTCCAATTCAAAGATAAAATGTAACTAAACGTATTCCTGTTGTTTATGGATGCATGTGTCTGCATGTAATGAAAATGTTTAAGCTTTTATATCAATTCAAAAGAATATAGTCAATTAGTTGCTTTAATTTTTTCGAGCTCTGGTAACTTTTTGGGGTTTAGAGTGTGAGGGATTTACAACCATATGATGAGATTTATTCCAAAAAGTAAAACATTAACTCAGGCTTTTAAAGATTTAAATAACAACAAATGGTGCTGAGTAAATGTAACAGTTTACTTAAGTTAATGTGACTCTAACCCGAAGGAACACCTGTGAACATTTAGCTTTAAAGAGTGTGTTACCTTAATAGTGTGTGTTAGGGTGCTGGAGTCCAAATCATTTTCAAATAGTTAATATTTAAATTTTGTAAAGGGGATTATTGTATAATTTTACGATAATCAGATACAAATGTAATGACGTCTGTGGGTTCAGGTTTCTGATGGCTACATAATTGATCATTTTAAAGTTTGATGGAGAATTATTTTAACTCAAATTAAAGTTGTACTTTTTTCAAACTAAGTTAATTTAGTATTTTCCAGTGGCTCATGTCAGAATGGTCACTAAGACTGTTTTTTATTCTGAATTTGTGTTTTTTGTCGATACATTTGGTTGTCATTAAGCAGAAAAGATTTTGGACACATTCGATACATTTTATTGTGTGCCTATATCAGTCTAATTATTGTTGTGTTATTGATTATTATTGAATACAATATCGTTTGTAAACAATGACGGAATTAACCAATGAAACCATAGAGCATAATCCATTTAGTTGATGTATATATTTTTTTTATTGAGTAATTGCAACTTCCAACGGGAGAAGTTAGAGAACGTCTCGGAAATATAGATTCATTTTGATTCTACTTTTGAAAATCTGGCTGATGCTGTTTTAGGAAATACACACAATTATTGAAATGTTCTAAATAAATTAACGTAATGCATTGACCTAGTTACCATACCGGTTTGATGCTCTAAAAACAGACGAGCGAGTTTGGTCAAATAATTAGTTTCGACTAAAAGTCGTGACGTTTGCTCATCAAATATCCTTCCTTTTTTAATTTAATTTACAGTCTACAGTAATTCTGTGCCAACATGTTAAATAATTATTACAAATTAAGAGTCTAATAATTAATATGAGTTAACATTCGTAGTCATGATTTTACTCCAAGAAAAGTCTATTCTGACCAACTAATGACATTTAATGATCAATGTGTTTACTTTTCTTTTTCCTGCAATCACTTTTTTTTTTATGTGAAGAAGCCTTACGCTTGTTCTTGTAAAACAAAGTATGTCTGCATTTTGACATGCCACGTCTGTTTATTCAGGTTTTAGTTTAAAAATGTCTAAAAATCCAACACATATAATGAATGCGACACACATTTTTCAGGGTAATCATTCTAAACTGGCAGCAAACCACTGGTATGTCCAGGCCATATTCTTATCGATATTAATTGAATCACCTATTGTTTGTTTATTTTTCTTATTAAATAACCGTTGTCGTTTCAGTAAATCCTAGATTTGTTGTTTGTTGAGGAAATTGTTCAGTAAAGGCGATAGGCGATTAGTCTAATATTCAGTAGAGCAACAGTACATTGTTTATTTTGAATCCAAAAGAGTTTTTGAAGTCATAATTTCAAAAACGCAAGGCGTGTGTCTGCGCGTGTCTTTGTAAAATGTGATAGGCTAGTTGATATCAAAGCAGTGATACCATAGCGCACACACGCAAACACACACAGACAGAGAAACACACACACACACACACAGATACAGAAACACACACACACACACACAGATACAGAAACACACACACACACACACACACACACACACACACACACACACACACACACACACACACACACACACACACACACACACACACACACACACACACACACACACACACACACACACACACACACACACACACACACACACACACACACACACACACACACACACACACACACACACATTCCCTCTCTCAGTGGCAGCTCTCTCTCACTGCAGACCCGTGTATGCAGGAGAGGCTGCACCGAGCTGTCGGTCACCAGAGGTCTGTCACCGGGGAATTTGATATCTTTACACGGTAGTTGTTGGTGCATTCGTTTCAAAGAAAAGATCGTCTCATGCCGATGCGTAAAAACGCAACACATTTACGCACGACAATTCCAAACCAGTCATAATATTAAATGTCATTTCGACATTTAATATTATGGCTATTGTTTGCAGTATTTTTTTATATATTAGTTCGGTTTTTATATACCATTATTTGAATTGAATGCAGGCTAGAGTATATGTTTGTTTCAGACCATGTAGTCCAACCAGAGAAGGGTTTCATGGCGGTTAGATCTGTCAACAGACTTTGGTCAGTGAAGGGGAAACGCGAGGAAAAAACTGGTAGAAATCGGTGGACATGGCGAGGCAGATTCCCAGCTGGGCGGCCTCGCAGTGACCCCCTCAACTTTCAACTCTGAATGCCTCCGGCTATCAGCATCTACAGTATGGCTAATCCAATCAAAGTGATGCGCTCTCGCGTCAACCTGCTGCTGCTGTAGGCCTCGTGCATCCTATCCACAATCTAGTATTGAGTGTCTTTCATGTGAGATAAGAGACATGTGTGTTTCTATCACTTCAGGAACTACATCCTCATCATATTAGGGCGTTCTGTAATTGGCATAGTTACAATTGTTGTGTATAGCACAGCACCCTGACCTGGACCTTTGGTACATTTACTCTCACACATTCGTTATCGAGAATGTGTGATTGGTTTACTTTGCTTCTTTTTTTTTGCATGCCAATGTGGCACAGGTCATATTTATTATCAAGAGTAAATCGTGCACTTTCCACTGTAACAATAAACAGTTGATCTGGATGGATAATCCAGATGTTTTTTTAAGATAGAAAATGAGTCATTTTGAAGGGGTGTGCTTAATGTGAAGCCAAATGAGAAGAAGGGTGGAGGATAAAGGATTTGTTTTGAGATTCAACTACTGTTAGAGTGAATAAGTATGCTTTTGAAAAATAAATCATCCTCAAATGTGTGTGTGTGTGTGTGTGTGTGTGTGTGTGTGTGTGTGTGTGTGTGAGAGAGTTTGTGTGTGCGCGTGCGTGCGTGTGTGCGTGTGTGTGTGTGTGTGTGTGTGTGTGTGTGTGTGTGTGTGTGTGTGTGTGTGTGTGTGTTTGATTGGCCAGTGTCAGAGCCGTGATTCGGTCTGGGGATACCGACGCACCGTGCAGACCTATGGGAGCGCGCGGTGGTCAGAAGGGGGAGGGCAGAGAGGCTGAGGCGGACTTGACTCCATTTGTAATAAACGATCTGATGAGCGGGGTTCAGATCAGGGCTGCCGCTGGGTCTGTGAGGGCAATAACACAGAGGAGCGATATAAATGAGGAGGGAATAACTTCCGCTTTGATCGGATCTGCAGCCCGCGGAGACGGAGAGGAGGAAGAGCCGAATTGTGCGCGCAGGGAGACGGACAGCAGAGCGAGAAACAACCCGGTGTTTTATCGGAACAGAGTGGATTTTTAAGAAGCGTCACTGCAACATTTGGACGGTTGGATTTAAAGGAAAATATTAATTTAAAATCAAAGCAAGCTGTAAAAAAAAAAACAACTCCAAAAAACCGGCTGCCGGGCGCGTAGGATTATGAGCGTGTTTTCTGCAGGGAGAGCAGAGCAGTGCGTTTGAGGTAAAGGCCCTCAGGGTGACCATCCAAAATACACACACACACCAACTGGTCAGGCTGTGGTTAGCTTATTTGATGTAAGTGATATGCACTTTACGAGATGCTTCCATTTTTAAACATCATATAGGGCTGTAGTTTAAAACAATTCAGATGTTAACACACTGTGGAACTTCAAGCTCCCATTATGCATTGAGGTTAACGGACAAAATATGCATATTGATGCAAGTTAGGTTTCCACTGATACACTCTGACATCTGGGTGACTTATATTACATAAATATGCATGACAAAGGCAAACTGTCAACATCTCAAAAAACAATGTTGAAGTTCAAGTTCATGTAGGTCTAATCTCATTTGACAGAGAAGCGTTGGATTAGGTTAATCCTAATGTAAGTATAGTTTTTTGATGCTATTTTGAAAAGAAGGGACCATAAGTTGTTTATTGTGTTCACCACAATATCAAAGTGCTAAGGTAGCCTTAATAAACGAGGCCATGGTTAACAGTCCCTTTGTGGATCTTTAACAAAAACAGATATCAACTGACCGTTTCTGTTGCTTTCATGGTTTTTAGTCATGGTTATTGATTTTGTGATTTAAATAACAGGTGAATAATATTACCATTACGTGTTCCTAAACATGGATGCTTCAAATTATATTCACTCTAAAGGTCATGAACTATTATGAAATGATATCATATACATTATATAACATGAACAACCCACCCTATCAAACAGTTGGGGTGGCAGTCACGATAAACCCTGTTTACCAAATGCACATAATTGTAATATGTATGTGTGTGTGCGTGCGTGCGTGCGTGCGTGTGTGTGTCAGTGGGACATGGCAAACGGAGGGGACCAGTTCGGCCTTGCGGAGAGTCCGGACTCAGACTGCATGGATTCCCCAAAAGAGACCAAACCGGAAAATCCGGGCTACACCTTAAACTCTCCAGCCTCTCCGCAGACAGCATCCAGACAGCAGCCAGCGGCTACTACTACGGAGCAGAATGTAAATATATATTATTAATTCATAATTTACTAAATGTTGAAGACTATGCAGATTTTTCTTGCATCCTGGACCAAAGTGAGAGGGAAAGTTAATTTCCTTCTAGTAGTTGCTATGAGATTTGTCGTGTATTAGGTTTAGATAAACTACAAAATAATAGAGTCCAATAACTTCTTATAGCCTACTAGATTTTTTTCAAACTAATTGTTTCTCGTTTTGGGGGCTTTAATTTAACTTCCAGGAGACTTCCTCTTCAGTTGTAGTGAGCACTGTTTTTGTTTTGTTTTAGGGAATGGAAGGAATCAAAGTTTTCCTCCACGACAGAGAACTTTGGACAAAGTTTGATGAAGTGGGAACTGAAATGATCATCACCAAGGCTGGAAGGTAAGAAGTTAGGAGGAATACATATTTATCTGTTAGTTTTTTTTTATTTGGGTACATTCGATTTATAATTGTTATGAAGCCATGGTTGAATAAACAGCACGACTGTCACAGCACGACTGTCCTGACAATATATCTAGGACAAACTGTATGTGAATGTTGCCTCAGGGGACATTTTTTCTCTCAGAGGAGGATAGCAATTTTTTTTAAATCTTAACTTCAAGTATTATAATATAATCTGTCTGTGTCTGTAAAATAATATATTTATTTTTTCTGAATGTGCTCGTGTAGGAGGATGTTTCCCAGTTACAAGGTGAAAGTCACGGGACTCAACCCAAAAACCAAGTACATACTCCTGATGGACCTTGTGCCCAAGGACGACCACCGATACAAATTTTCAGACAACAAATGGTTGGTGTATTTCAAAATGTATACGTGTGAATTTGATGAAATCTAAATTGAGGTTTTCCCTAAAAATAATGGTGCATGCGAAGATAATCAAATATGTATGTATGCCCAGGTCAGCCATGATAGGCCCCATTGTTTATTAATGTATTTTAAACGTCGTTTACGGAGTGTAAAACGGTAACAAAACCACCACAGGGAGAAACAAAAACACAATCCTAGCCTTTGCTTTATTTTCCTAATTATCTTCCCTGTGATTTTGTTATGTGTGCCACTTTGAATTATGCATTAAAACCTCCGCGTAAAACCTCTGTAAAAATAAATCCGTGCTGTTGGGTTTACCTCCTCTTCACCCTGCCTCTAAAGGTCGGGTCCTTCTTGCAGACTAGCATGGCCTAGTTCCCCGTGTTTCCCCCCGTGTCTGCCCGCCGGTTAAATCAGAGTATGAAGGGTTCACCGGGCGGACAGACCGGATTAAAGTCTCCCATTCAAATGCTTGCTGTGCTGAGGGGGGAAATCCGAAGAGACCACTGACTCTGCAGAGATCCGTCAATGGTTTTACAAAGAAACGTGCCGTAAACAGGAGTCTGGATACACTGTGACATAAAGTCCGGCTCGCATGCGTAATGGTGGCAGCGGTGTTTCTGGAGATTAGTCAGACATTTATCAAGAGATAACGTCTTTATGTGGGTGATTGATAGCGTCGTATATAAGCTAACTGGCTGCAAATGTATCTCAAAATAAATGTTATTTTATTTTTATTATTTACGTTTTGACCGGCTCACGTCATTTGACATTTGCATATTGTTGACTCGGAGCCATTCTTCATGCAGACATACAGCACTAAGAAAAACATTGTTTTTTACAAAATTATTTACGCAGCACATTTCAAATATTATAATCCTTCTCTTTCGCTCTAATTTGTGTTTATAAAGTGTTAAAAGCAAATGCAAACACAAGAAACGAAACCGTTTATTGTGTTAAAAAGTCCCCCTAAAAAGTAAATAATGCATCCCTCAAACAGGTTGGCGATAGCTTTAGTGTTTGTTTCTCAGCTGCTGTAAAAGGGGGGAAATAGTCCAATATTGTTCACAGATTATATGTTTAAAAGTGGATCTTTGTTGGCCACTGATGCTATTTTAGTTTCGTGGGGATTTGAAGTGTTTCTGAGGAAATATGTCAACAGTTTCAGGCTTTTCTCTCGGCGGCTCACAAGTTAACATCTTTGGCACAAAAGGACCGAGGCTACAGCAGTTTTAGAGGAGTCCGAGTACATTTGGATCGAAAAAGCTTAGGTCCAGATCTCGTCCAGATATCTGTGTAAACTTTAGCAAAACAAGTTTATCCAGTTAAAGCACCAGATAGGCCTTCTGCAGCGAAGGCCTCCAGCCGGTCAGACAGACCACCGTGACCCCCTGAATGCACCGTGTCTGATCTGCGGCCTCCTCTCTGTCCAAAGGTCGGTAACGGGAAAGGCAGAGCCCGCGATGCCCGGGAGGCTCAACGTCCACCCGGACTCCCCGGCCACCGGGGCGCACTGGAGCCGCCAGCTCGTCTCTTTCCAGAAGCTCAAACTCACCAACAACCACCTGGACCCCTTTGGACACGTGAGTTTCTTTTCTTAATATTTGTAGTTTATATTTCTTCAGAACCAGAAAAATATGCTTGGTGCGTCTTGGCAGTCGATACAATACATGTGTTTGGCTTATGAAAGAGTTTGCTTTGATAGCCTCAATATATCATGTATTTTAAATAAAATACAATCTATATCCCAAATGGAAATAGTCTTTTCGCCCAATTAGATTCCCATCGTATGCTTTTTAAATAATCAAGTGATTTCTTATTTTTTTTAATTAAGAAGATTGATTACACACACACAACAGTCACCGTTCCAGGCTGGCCACCACAACACAAAACAGCTCAGAGTATGCACAGAGAGACTCATTCCCATCATGGCAGCTCTCATTGCCGCCGACTGTTACACACACACACACACACACACACACACACACACACACACACACACACACACACACACACACACACACACACACACACACACACACACACACACACACAACACACACACACACCACACACACACACACAACACACACACACACACACACACACACACAAACAACACAACACACACACAGACACACACAAACACAAACACACACACAGACACACCCACACAATTTCATGAGGCGGTTGAGCTTCACGGTGTGAGAGCAATTGAAAACATAGGCCTATTGTTTTTTGCACTAGCGCAAAGACAATAGGCAACAAACAGAAACAATCTTCTCAGGCTTGTTCAATTAGAGGTAATGATTTCAATGACTAAAGCCCAGCTAATGCATGTCACCGGCGGACACGTCACTGCTATCCCCCTGGATAAACAAACGTGCTCGCGCCTGTGTGTTCAGACAGAGGGCCGTGATCCAATTAAAAAAAAACACACTTGAGGAGTTTCCTGTGTCATGGCAAATTGTTTAGAATGTGAGATAAATGATTGTTATGGTTTTACATTGCTGGTTTCCCCAAGCCAAATGTTAGATGTTAAGACATTTTTATTATGGAAATGTTAGTAAGTTGTCAAGAACATACAACATCCAATGAGTGACTCTTACTGAAATCAAGCTAGTGTTCAGTGAAAGCCTCAACATATATATATATATATATATATATATATATATACATATATATATATATATATTTAATTTAAGCCTTTGGAATAGTCTTATATAATAACAATGTATGATGTAGCATAGTTTTGGTTAAAAGGCAATGGTCACAGATTAAATTAAATTAAGTGTATTTAAGATGCCTTGATGATCCCTTTGTTTAAAATATGCAGCTTTCCCTTCATGCATGGTTATCGTTTGGTTAGAATGAGATGAACATACAACATTTAAAAAAATAATCAGCATTAGTCATTTACTTGCATACTGAACCTAAATCAGGCAAAAAATAGTTTACATTAATGCCCAAATGATGACATCAATATCTATATTTAAAAAAATCTCAGCTAAGTTCTTGCATCCAAAACAGCTCCTTTACTTTATCAGTTTCAGCCTACTATATGAAAGAGTCTCTGTCTTAAAGATTCATGTCATCCAAGAACTTTGGGTACCTTGACATTCATTGGGTTTACCCTCCACCTGGACTCATGACAGGTCTGTCAATCACACCTCCTCAATCTCTCCCCTGTGCAGATAATACTCAACTCCATGCACAAATACCAGCCTCGCCTCCATATTGTCAAGGCGGATGAGAACAACGGCTTTGGCTCCAAAAATACGGCTTTCTGCACCCACATCTTCTCTGAGACTGCCTTCATCGGTGTGACGTCCTACCAGAACCACAAGGTGAGCTCCACAACAACAACGCTGTTAAAATACAGGGAAACAACATGCTTTATGTATTTTTAAGAAGGGCCACATTAGTCCTTTTTATAGAATATTTTGTATATTAAATGGAGTTTAAAACAATACAGAAAGTGTTATTTAAACATCACTTCACATCATAGAGTACACTTATTTTAAACTATTTTTTCAAGCCATAGGCTACCTCATAATTATAGCAATTATGGAAATAGATCTCAAAGTCAAATGTGTGTCATATCTGTTCTATCTATGATTATTTAGATAAGTGTTTAAGATGTGCCTTTGGTCACTGGCTACATTCAAACTTCTGTCTCTCACACACACACACACACACACACTCACAAAGAGAACCTTTTTCTTTGTTAGTATTACTGTCTGTATTTTGTATCCAGAAAGTCAATTTGCATCTTCATTGTTTATGTGGCCTTACTTAGTATTTGTAAATATGTCCAAAAATAAGTTATCCGTGTGTGTGTGTGAGAGAGAGCATGTGTGTGAGCGAGTGTGAGAACGTTAGTCTGTAATGAACTGTTTCTTTCCCTTGATCTTTGCTGACCAGTTTTCTTGATGTCAACTAGAAAGACAGATTGCTGAAGCTTGTTGCCGCTCTGCTGGTTGCGTTCCCATATGATAGATTTTATTTGATTACATTTAATAACGTGAATAAATACATTTTAAATGTACATAAAACAAAACAAAAGTATACTGTGTTAGCATTTCAATACAAAATATTCCTCAATACCCCAAGCAAATTGTTTGTATAAAAAAAGTTTAAAAAAAGGACTCTCAGAAATTGGTGCATCAAATCTGTTAATAGCAGGTCGTTTTTAGTTTAAAGAAATATTAATAATAAAATGATATTTTATTTAAGCTGAAGTATTGTATGTTATGTATAAAATGTATGATAATTATAATACAGTTAAACAGTTAGAAGTAGTTAAACTACTAAAGTTTAATCTTAAATACTATATAACTATCTAATTCTTATTATTGTTATTATTATCGTTTTAGTGGTAGTGCATTAGCAGCAGCAGTAGTACACTATTGTATTTGCTGTAAGTTGAATTGAAATCAATATTATAAATTCTTGTCACTTCAAAATCACAACAAAAAACAATATGTATTGAAGTTTTTGTTATACAAGCTATTGTGTTAAACAACATTTTTATAGTTCCATCATGAAAAAACAAATACTATAGTTATAACACTATTAAATCCAACATGTGTGCAAAATGATTACTATTTTAGCAGTATAGTTTGGTGGTGGTTTTCATCAGCACTTCAAAGTTAGTTTGGACCCGAGCTGGTGTCACATCTCCGGTCCGGCTGCCTGCTGTGTGATGGACACACTGCGCGAAGGCTTCCCTCCATGACATCACTGAGAAAAATGTGAAAACTTAAACATCAAAGCTCACAGCTTTGGACCTCTAAAAGCTTTGGTATGAAATCCTTAAACCTGGCGACTGTTTGGGTAAACAGTTTATTCTGTGTCAGCTGGCGAGGACACTGTTCGCTTCGTTAGAAACGTCAGCGGGCTGAGGAATGTCGGCCGTGCAGAGCTTTAGCGCCGCTGCTAAAAACATCTGCAGGGCCTCTCACTAATAGTAAACTTTAACATGTGAATGTGCCTTTGTGTGTCTGTGCTGTGTGTTTGTCTTGGCCTGTGCATGCAGGTGTAATCCATGTGTCTGAGCTAAAGATTTTCCTTGTTTTGTGCTCAGATTACACAGCTGAAGATAGAGAATAATCCTTTTGCCAAGGGCTTCAGAGGCAGCGATGACAATGAGCTGCACCGCATGGCCAAGCTCCAAGGGTGAGTACAGCTGCACGAGAGGAACACTTACAGAAAACAACATCTATTTGCTCTCTGGAGATTTTTATGATTGGGGTACATATGATCCAAAACATATGTGTGTGTGTGAGCCATTGTCACCTGAAGGTTGATCTTAGCGTGCAACATCAGCCAGAGCGAGTGTTGATCACAAACACGAAGCACCGAGCGTCAGGTCCTGCATTGATTGATAGATGATATCCCGTTGCTGCTGGTCTAATGGACTGTCACTGCAGATCAGCTGATCACCTTACATGGTGTCTGTTTGTGTGTTGAACTGATCTTCATTAAAGCGCTGTTTTGGCAGGCAGTTTAGAGATTTTAATAGGCCAATAGGAGAGGCTGTTTCTGAGAGGAGGGGGAGGAAAGAGAAGAGAGGGAGGGTGCAGCCCCCTGTGTTTCTGTGCGGCTGTGGTTGGTGGAGTAGAGAGGGGGACAGAGGAGAGTCTATCTAAGGTGACACATGGATGGCTGTTTATTTTTAGAGCTAGTTTTTGTAGCGTATTATCTCACAACAGGATTAACTGTGTGTGTGCAAGCACGAGTGTGTGTCACTATCTCAGCTAGGGCTAGCGAGATATGGCCCAATGTCCCCTACATACCCAAGAGTTCACCAAGAGGGCAGTGTGTACAGAGAAAGAGAAAGATCAGAGCTGAAAGGATGGAGAAAGTTGACTTGAAAGAAAAGAAAAAAAACAAGAGCACACAGAATACAATCAGGTAGAATAAAATGTAAGAGAAAAACCTGCACAGAGTCAAGAGGTTGTTTTGTGCGCCCAACTGCACATGTAAATGTTCCTGCTACGGGACTAATAAAGGATCTCTCTGATATACATACTTTATGTTTTTTTTGTTGTTGTAATTTTCAACCCACCGTTCCCTCTCGTTCTTAGGAAGGACTTCCCTGTGGTCCCTCGCAGTACTGTCCGTCAGAGGGCCTGCTCCACCGGGAGTCCCTTCAGTGGGGAGGGTCGGGGTCTGCGGGGCTCCCCTGAAACCGTGGGGTCCCCGTTCAGCTGTGAGAACCGTTTGAGTCCCCAAGAGCTGCTGAGGGCCCCCCCTGCACACTACACCCTGGCCCCTCCTCACATGCAGCACAGCCACCAGCCGCAGGTCTACTGCACCAAGAGGAAAGGTAGGAGGACGCTTCAGCACACTGTGTGACAAAATGATCGGCTATCTCAAGCTGTGCAAGACAAAAAGCAATGCCATTAGTTCACTCCTGACACAGAAGTCCAGAAATGACCCCTTTCCTTTTTATTTAATCATTGTGACACTAAGATCACTAACAGGGCCTTTATTGATCCCCATAGGTACATTCAGGTGTTATAGCAGCAACATAATAGGAGAATAACACAGGTAGTACACATGAGAATATACACAGGATATGAGGAACAAGGGGAACTTGAGCTGTTAACCTTGCTCTCTTCAAAGTCACAAAACTCCATTGAGAAAAACATGAGTTTGACCTTACACTGTCTGGCAGCACAGTAAAGCAGTAAACATATTCCAAATACAGCATGCACCCTAAATTACATTCTTTTGAGATGGCTAAAATAACTTTTGTTGCTAAATGCCCTGGATTACCCCAGTTTAACCCCTAACCCTAACTACCCCTTATCAGACGTACTCTTAAAGCACCTAACAAATTAACCTTTCCATCAGGCTCCATCTGTTAAACTTTTAAATTTATTTTTCTCATCTCAGCTTCTTAAACAGTCTGAAGTAGGAATTCAGACATCCTGGTCTGAAACGTTTCCAGTTCATGCTTCTTATTGATATCATATGTTACATTTCTCTCTGTCTATGTCTCTCCTTAGTGGGGGAGAACTGCTCTCCAGGAAACCGCCAGCACCCGTATAAGAAAGCCTTCACCGGTAGCTCTCCAAGTGAGGGCGAGTCTTACTACCACCCCTCCTCCTACCCTCCTCCTCCACCCGGTCTATCCAACAACCCTCTCACCGACTCCCCCTCCAGCTCAGACATGGGACAGCGCCAGGCGTGCATGTTTGCCAGCTCTGAACCCAGACTGGATGAACTCAACTGTACATCGTGGTCCTACAGCAGCCCTCTCCCCTCTGCCATGACCCCCATGGATCCCTACCCACCTTACACCCCTCACCCCCCCTACAGCTCCAGCCCTCAGGGTTCCCGACTCAGTGCCATAGCCAACCAGAGCTCTCCGACGCTGGGAGAACACATCGGCCACCACCCCTATCCGAGCCAGAGTGCCGCACCTCCACCTCAGAGCTCCCAAAACATTCACAGCAGGCAGGTCAGCCCTCCTCTCAGAGAGTACCCTCGCTACACTCCCAACCTGTCTCCTCCTCTCTACCACACACTAGAGACACACACACACATCAGGTGTGTCGTACCAGAATGGAGTGCAGCCTCCTAACTGAACCAGAGGACAAACCCCAAAGACTGATACATGGACAGAGATTCCTCGTCTCAAATTCAGTGACCGTTCTTTCTGCTCTTCTGAAAGATGCTGGCTGCATACGGACTATATATGATATTACCTTTGTAAAATAATTGTGAAAATTCTGATATTTTTGTGCTGTGTGAAGAGCTCTCCTCCAGCTTTGCAGGATGGGACAGTGGATTGTTAAAGACTATACATGGTCATCCATAAAACAAACAAAGTTGTACTTAATCTTCTTTCTATAACCCAAAAACTGGTGTCATCCAAATGTTGTAGCTGTGAGCCCTGTTCAGGCCAGCCTGTGAAAGCTTGTTTTCCTCTAAATCAGTCCCACTCTCTCCATTGTGAAGGATGTACATTTCGACCCAGGCTGTAACATTTACTGACCAAAATATCTCTGATCTCCCAGCGGAGCCTGAGGTAGACATATTTTCTCTTTAGTGGAGAAAAGCATAGCTCCATGCTCAGTGTCAGTGAAGGAGAAAAGGCATGAGTTGAGAATAAAGAGGACTGTGGAAGATCACTGAGACTGGTTGACAGCAGTGACAATCTATCCAGAGGAAGAGGAAGTTTACAGTTAAGTCTCGGAGGTGGCAGCAGGTTTTGGACCTGACGTGCCGCAGGGATGTCCTGGTTGTCTCCGGTCCAATGGGCCAAATGGACATGGTCAGCAGTGACTGGAGTAGCTGGAGAAGAGGGGCAACCCCTATCCAAGGGTGGAGGAGAGTACAAGTAAGAGGGCTAGGCCAAAATGTGTGTGTGTGTGTGTGTGTGTGTGTGTGTGGTGTGTGTGTGTGTGTGTGTGTGTGTGTGTGTGTGTGTGTGTGTGTGTGTGCGTGTGTGTGTCTGTCTGTGTGTGTGCGTGTGCCTGTTTGTATGTAAAGCCTATGTCAGCTCAGCTCAGCTCAAGGATGCGATGAGATAATTTCCAATGTAGTTCCTGCGGGCGCTGTAACACAGAAAAAGCAGTTTGTTTAGGCCACGCTACAGGCTGAGGGACCTGTAAACACTGCTTTCACTGCATTCTGGGTAAATGCACTACTCAGCGTCACACGGTTGTCACTGCTGTCCTCTCAGTCAACCCTAGCTGACCAATCAGCTCTCTCTTTTCTCTGAGAGCCAGCCAATGAACATGCCCCTTTCTTTTATCCCCAGCTGACCAGTTAGAGCTGGAGCGTTGCATGTTTCATGTGTGCGTGTGTGTTGGCCCGTTTTATTTTGTTTCTGAATTATTCATTAGTCCAGTGTTGATCCTTGACATGCAAGGATTGCTCAGCAAACATAACAAAATCAAAGTTCTGTTAAATGTGATAATGTTGATGCACTAACTCTTGTTCCTTTAATTTGAATCTAAATTCTTCCTGTCTTATCCATTCATGGTTTTACAAGATCCGGTTAGATACATGTCCCTGCAGCATCATCATTCTCCTTTTAGCTAACCGTAAAGAAAGATATGTGGCACCCATTGTGAAAGCTGAGGTTTTGGTGTCTTTTTGTGTAAGAAGGCAGTTTTCATATATCTGCCCTGTTGTGTTACATGCAGTAAAATGTGAGCAGGTGCTCTTACATTACAAACAGTATGCAGAGAGCAAATCCCCATCATTCCTTGGTATGTATTTGATATGTATGTATGTGCGTTAAAATGAGATTTTTTTTATAGCCTTGCTCCTGCTAACAGTATTTATTACTCTAGATTTGTAAAGATTAGTCTGTTGTTAACTTGTGAAACAAGCAGAGTTGTTCAGAGATATTTGTTTCTCTTTAAAGGTTTGTGTCTGGTTTCACCCGCCTTCTGTGGTGATAAATAGTTGTGATAAACAAACAAAAATGTTCTGTTATATGGATAAAAAGACAGATTTATACACAGAAATTGAATAAATGTTAGAGAATTATGCGTATGTCAAGTGGTTGCAGTGTTCTTCTTTGTGATTAGACAACAAACACAGCAGAGGCAACTTTCCCACTGTAGGTTATTTAAAGCACGGTCAGCAACTCAGGAACTCAACGCATGTAGCAATATGAAGGACTTGATAAGGACAAGGGCCTGTACTTTTCTCCAAATGTTCCAAAAGTGTCCAACATTATCATGCAACAATGTAGAGTATTGTTTAAATTATAACAGTGCATGCTATGCTGTCTTATCAAGAACAAGAGACCCCAGTGTCTTTTACAACCCCCCCCCCCCCAGAGTGGTGTGGGTGCTGCACATACCTTGTCCCCCTCCTCTTATCTGTGACAGGTTGTTTGGCATCTCCAGTCTCCACCAGCTGGATCCCCTCATTGGTGCCCAGAGAGGGTTAGGGTCTGCCGGGATGCAGGACAGAGAGAGGTGGGGGTGTGTTGGTGGTCCCCCTTCCCTCTTGTGTCTCACAGCAAAGTTAACCTCTTCCACCTTCCACCTGCTCAGAGTTTACAACACCCTTATTTTGAAAGAACAAATGGACGTAACATGCAGAGATCTATTTATAAAAGGCTGCTAAATCATTAAACTTGTAACCCGGGGTATTTACAATTAATTGCATAGTTATATGTCAGTTGTAAGACCTCCCCTTCCTCTCCTTCTCTTTCCCTTTCTTCCTTTCTCTCTCTCTCTCTCGTACACCATAAGGACAGAGGTTAAGCAGGCAGCCCTTCAGAGGGTCTGTTCCTCCTTAACCCTTTGTCTCCAGACAAACTGGATAAGGGGGAGAGGGAAGAGGAGGGAGGAACGAGGGGGGTCCCATGGAAGGGCCTCCGACTCTGAAGATGGATTGCATCACTCCATGTTAGCTTGTACAGTAACAGATCTGTGATGACTCCTGTATGGCTGGAAGAATAAAGCTTTGGGAGAAGTGGTAAAGTAATATTAAACACAGAGAAGAAGAAGACTGTGTGTGTGTGTGTGTGTGTGTGTGTGTGTGTGTGTGTGTGTGTGTGCGTGCGCGTGCGTGCGTTGTGTGTGTGTGTATGTGTGTGTGTGTGTGTGTGTGTGTGTGTGTGTGTGTGTGTGTGTGTGTGTGTGTGTGTGTGTGTGTGTGTGTGTGTGTGTGTGTGTGTAAACCTTAATCCATCTGTGGAGGACTTTCTCAGACACACTGGACGGACAGTAGATTGATGAACCTTGGTGATCAAAGAGCCTAAGTGGTGCTTATCGTTATCTCCCCAACGCCCCCCTCCAACATAAACACACACACAGACGCACACACACGCAACTCCTCTGACTGCTCTCTACAGATTCTCCTTTTCTCATACGTATTCAAATCTAAAAGTCCAACATGGTTTCCAATAGATACACCAAATACACACACATCCTTTCTTGTCTTGGGTAGAGACGAGACACCACGTGTTAAAATGGAGAAAGACTGACATTTTTAAATGTCACACATTTTGCCTGTAGACCTAAATCTATGTATAACAACTAACCTTAGAGGGTAACTGTCTGAGGGGGATTTATAGTTCTGCTGTTTGTATCCCTAAGCTGTTTCTCTTAGAACAAAAACAACTGCTTTAAATCATTTGTTTCATTTCATTTTCATTTTAAATGTATCTAGAGTCTCTTGCAGGACACTGAGAGGCATTTGTGTGATGTCCAGCATTAGTGATGGAATAAGTGGTCTGAGATGGAGTGTAATTGGTAAAGTTAATTATGGTTCATCTCTTTGGGTCTGATGGTGCTCCATCTCTGCGGCAGTTAAGTGAGAGTTCAGTTCCTCCTTACTAGCAGGGTACAAGTTAAAAAGCGGTTGCACTGGAATGCATATACATGTATATAAAATTGAATCTATGCAACTTCATGTTTTTAAAATGTGTCAATCATAAAATGTATTTAACGTTCCTTTGCTTGTTGGCTTTTTAGAAGCTAAGAAAAAGATATCTTGGTCTGTGCTTCATCAAGTGTTATTGGAAAGTTTACAGGGCATCTTTGAAAATTGGGCTGATGAATACATTCAACTAATCCTTTTCAGAATATTTTAAATATATACAAAGCCAGTAGTATGTGCAATTAGAGTCACTAAGCACTGTATGGCACTAAGAGGACAGCTCAATGGCAGTGCAATAATGTAAAACAATGAGTGCTTGGCCATTACATATGGTGCAACAAAGTAGCATGGTTAGGATGATTTGAATGATACTATCTATCCTTGTTGTTATTTAAAAGCCACAAGAATGGTCTAATGCTGTTAAGCACAGTATAGAAACAAAATTGAGACTCAGAGCTAATTTCCTCCTAAATGAGAGTTTATGGCTGAAACAGCCCTGAAATCACTGAAGTAGATCTTAATATGAGCATAAGGGCTGTCAAGGATAAGAGGTCCAAGTAGAAGTCTGCATGTGGGTTGGGGGGGCTGGGCGGCTTGTGTGTGCTCTGGTTGTCCTGCATGTTGCGTTTGAGAGACAAAGGGAGAGTTAAGGGTCAAACCAACAGCAGACAGGCCAGTCCAGGGTCAGAGGGCTCAGACTAACCTGATCAGTGGTGCTTGTGTATCTGGCCATCCTTGAACCGTTACTCTGATGAAGTCTGCACTCAGATCAGCAACTTAGTGCCAGTTTTGAAGAACAGATGATCCCCTTGAAAGAAATACAACATGTGAAACATCATGAAAGATCAAATAAGGATATCTTGTTGTCCATGCGATGTGACCGTCCTTTCCCAATCTAAGATAGGTTAGGGTTTTCTTTTCAATCTCTCGAGGGTAAGCTAAGTTTTGAAAAAAGGACACCGTGATGTGAGCAAAAATAATTGTTTTAACTCCTAACATACCACCAGGGTCCCAAGACCGGCAGCCAAACACACATGACAGGGTAAAAGGGATAGAGGCCCTCCCGCAGTGGGTGGTGGTGGGGGTTGTGGGACGTCATGGAGCCAATGTCCCGTCTGATTACAGCCAGAGGACTGGAGAAGCACGCTAATTCTCCACACACACATACACACAAATATGGATACACAAAATCACTCGCATTGAGACAAAGGCACACAACCAGCAAGACAGACAGAAAACCACACACACACACACACACACACACACACACACACACACACACACACACACCACACACACACACACACACACACACACACACACACACACACACACACACACACACACACACACACACACACAACCCCATAACCTCTGACCTCACTGCAGTCCCCTTGTCCAGACAGCACACACATAATGATATCACTACCAGCAGGACGCTCTTTTTGTTTGCTCACTGTACAGCCGACTGTGGCCCCTTGCAGTCCCCCAGTTTTGAATAAAGGAACCTTGTCAGGTCATTATGGTGAATGGGCCCGGGCATTTAGGCAGGATTTTAAAAAAACTGCTCAAGTCATTAGTCCCAAGTTGTAGTAATGCACCCCCCTCATTGAAATCCTTTTTGACTTTCACAAGAAAAGCTAACATTTTTCAAATTCATTAAACAATCTGCCCACAGATTTAGGAACATAATTCTGGTGGGGGAACAGGAACACCAAATCCCATTTATTTGTTTGGTTCTTTTGTTTTAATGGCCCTAATGATTATGTATTAATTGACACAAGAAAACCATGTGAAAGTAGTCCCTTGTAATGATGAACCTATATAGTGCCGAAGTCACGCCCATCTACTTCCGGTCCATGGGACCTTATTTCGGAAAAATTATGTATTGAAGTCAATGGAGAGAGAAAACGTGTCTTTCGATCCTGTTTGAATTGTGCCATGTTTGCCATGTTAAAAAAGTCACAGTTTGTCGTAAAACTGTTGAAATACAAGACTATGAAAAATACGCAACTAGAAAGACTAGTGATGTCACAATTGTTTTCCTCCACTAAGAGATAGCTAAGGCAAGGCAAGGCAAGGCAAGGCAAGGCAAGGCAAGGCAAGGCAAGGCAAGGCAAGGCAAGGCAAGGCAAGGCAAGGCAAGGCAAGGCAAGGCAAGGCAAGGCAAGGCAAGGCAAGGCAAGGCAAGGCAAGGCAAGGCAAGGCAAGGCAAGGCAAGGCAAGGCAAGGCAAGGCAAGGCAAGTTTATTTATATAGCACCTTTCAACACAAGGCAATTCAAAGTGCTTTACAAAAAACGAAAGACATTAAGCAGTCATTAAAAAGAAAAGATAATAAAATAAACATTAAAAGAAAACAAATACATGGATAAAAGTTACAGTGCAGTCTAAGATGTGAATAGTTCAATTAAAAGCAGCGACAAAAAGAAAAGTCTTTAGTCTGGATTTAAAAGTAGTCAGAGTTGCAGCGGACCTGCAGGTTTCTGGGAGTTTGTTCCAGATATTTGGAGCATAATAACTAAACGCTGCTTTTCCATGTTTAGTTCTGACTCTGGGGACAGAAAGCTGACCAGTCCCTGAAGACCTGAGAGATCTGGATGGTTCATAATTTAGCAGTAGGTCAGAAATGTATTTTGGGCCTAAACCATTCAAAGCTTTATAAACCAGCAGCAGTATTTTGAAATCTATTCTTTGACACACAGGAAGCCAGTGTAAAGACTTCAGAACAGGAGTGATGTGATCCACTTTCTTAGTGTTAGTGAGGACTCGAGCAGCGGCGTTCTGAATCAGCTGCAGCTTTCTAATAGATTTTTTAGTGAGACTAATGATTACATTAGTCGAGTCTACTGAAGATAAAAGCATGGACAAGTTTTTCCAAATCCTGCTGTGACATTAGTCTTTTAATCCTAGATATATTCTTTAGGTGATAGTAGGCTGATTTAGTAACTGTTTTAATGTGACTGTTGAAACTCAGGTCAGAGTCCATGACTACACCTAGATTTCTGGCTTTATCTGTTGTTTTGAACATTGCAGACTGAACCTCAGCGCTAACTTTTATACGTTCTGCCTTGGCTCCAAAAACCATTACCTCAGTTTTATATTTGTTTAATTGGAGAAAGTTCTGACACATCCAGTCATTGATTTGTTCAATGCACTTA